AACACTCATTTATGTTTTTAAACTCCAGAAAAACAACCCACCTACTCTAGTGTTCCAGTTTGGGTTTAACATATCCCCTAAGATGATCTAAGAACAAATCCAAACTGAAAATGTGAAATGCTTTCCGATATCATCAGATCTATTTACGTTGTTGTAATGACTGTTACTGTTGGGTGCCATAGAAATGAAAGGAATGATAATAAACAATAATATGCTTCTACCAAGAAGTAGACTCTTCTTATTCTTTTTTGTACCTTTTGTCCTAGATGGGAAGAAGACCAAATACAAGAGACAAGCAGTACCTATAAAAATATTATCTTCTACAGAATTGTTAAAGATACCAGAGGTCTGCCCACCACAAGAATGCATTTTATGGGAACATTCAGAATAATTATGCCAAAACACAGTTGTTTTTATATGTTTTTGGGCAGCTGAGAGACTGGTAGAAAAAGGGAGAGAATCAGTACTCTGCCAGTTTGATTCTATCAATGTCTGCTTAAATGCTGCCATTTTATTTTCTTACTTTAGGAAACAAACAAATGACAAATGGAAGAGTTTTTAAGATCTGGGTATTCAAGACCTTGACCTTTGTTGTCTCATCTATTTCACTGGAGACTGACTTGAAAAATAGATAGATACCATGAGGTTAAAACTAAAACCACTGCTTTCCTTGCTCATTTGCAAAACATTATTTGAACTCAGTGAGACAAAACCTATGCGTGTTGCTCTGCAGGTTTTGTAAAACAAATTATGTGTAAAACACATCCATACTTTGAGAGTCTGACCTGCTTTGAATATGCATTAGTGAGTAAGTAAACAATACAAACGGATTTCTCAATCCTGGGGAGAGCTGGTAGCAGAGAGGTTATAGCATTTCAAAACTTACATGAGTCTTAGCTTTTGTGTATTTTATTTCAACTAGACACTGAGTGCAGATATGCGTACATGTGTATGTAAAAGGAAGCTGCAAAGATCCCAAGGCTATCTTTAGCATCAAAGGGGTATACCCTCTTTGTCATATATTGGCAAACTTTAAATATAAGTAATGTTAATGATGTGGAAAACTGTCCTAAACAAAAACCATTGCATACATGGATATGTGAATTAACATCTGTAAAACCCAAGCACACTTATTATAGATAGAATGCTTACATTTTACATGTGCATATATGTGTTTGTGTGTATTCCTGTGCCAGAATAAATCTGCTTTACTTATGGAGCAATCCCCAGTAGTCAATGTTTAAAGTATCATTTAGTTTGTGTGCATTAAAATAATAAAGCACCACTGTGTCTTTGAGTTCGATGTGCAAGATGTAACAAGCAAGGATCGCTTTTCTGTGTTAAATGATACTGCTTTATTGGAGCAGCTTCGCTCCACTTGTTTCCCTGCTACTGACACTTGCTAAAGCAGCAAGGGAAAAAATCTTATTAAATCCCTGGCAAAAATCTTTTTCCATTGTTCTTGGAGAGAAGAAGGAAATCTGGAGGTTCACAGAACATCCCTGGTGTACTCAGGGAACCAATTAGGCACAGATAAAACATTCCTTTTTCTTGTATTGCTTGCATTCTGCATCCACATTCCAACTTTGTAATCAATGAACTATGTCATTCTTTCATGAGCGGACTTAGATTGTCTTGGTAATACCCTGCATCTCCCTTGACTGTGTACCTAAGCAGATCCGTCCCCTCATATCAATACAAAGACTTTTGGGAAGGCATCTGCCTAAGACATCTGCAAGCTGGTAGCCTGACACTGTATTTTCCAAGACCTGCCTGCACATGTGAATGGGTGCTAGAGATCTGTACAATGTAAGATGTTGATTCTTTTTGAGAGAAAAGCAACTTAAGACAAGACATTCAGTTCTGGTTACCAGTGTTTGTTTTAATGTACGTACATATCCATGAATTAAGATGCTGAGGATGCTAGTTCAGTTCAGTTTTATTCTCAGATTAGCCAAAACAGCACAAAGGTGGGACTGATAAATGTCTACTACAATGGCACTGTGGCTCCCTTAGGGAAGGAGTATGTAGTGGTTAAAATTTCCAGCATGCTTGCTGCTTTCATGAACTGATGATGTAAATAGAGATTATAAAGCTAAAAATATTGAAGTCATGGCTGGACCAAGGGGGGAAGAAGTGTTCCTAGGTCATGTGACTATACCAATCCACCTTCTGTTAGAAGTACTTGCAAATAAAGCAGGCAAAATATTAAGCACAAACTACAAGGGAACAAAATAGTGGAAGCCAGCTTTGAGGATGCTCACATGGCTAAAAATGAAAATGGCCATTTTCAAAAGAAATGAAACACTAATCTCCACTGACGTATAGCACAGACTGTATAAAGAAATAGTTCAATAAAATGACTGAATTTTGAGGGTCAGAAATCCATACATTAAAAACTAATTGCAGACTCAAAGAGCTATAGTAATTAGAGAAAACATTCTAATTGGTATGGGGCCAATTTTTATTTTATTTAATTTAAAAGGTTTCAGATCATCTTTCAGCCATGTCTTTCCCAGCATCTAATAAAGCACATATGTAACAGTTTATAACAGAGGATATTTCAGAACATATTAAAAACTGCAAGCAAAATCAGTAATAAAGCAGCACAAAAGATCAATGGAGCAGAAAAAGCAATAAAACCAAAGAAAGAAAATGGCAACTCAAGAGATTTTGTTGTTAGACTGTCCTCTAAAGGCCCAGGAGAATAACAAAGACAAGTTCCTAAGGATTATTATTATTATTATTATTATTATTATAACATTTCTATGTCCCAGAAAAGACTAGAGAGTGAGCATTAGGTAAGTGCTCCTGGGAACAGAATTCTACAGTTTGGGTACCACCACTGAAAAGGTCCTGTCTCCCATTGCCAAAATCTCAGTTTTGCTAAGGGATACACAATAAACAGGTCCCCTTACAGAGAGTTTACTGAATACGAGCTTTTGTACGGGACTAGTCAGTCCTTACATATCATAATTCCAATCTAAACATAACTTGGGTTTGTTTCTAGACTTGGACCCAGATACATACTGGAAACCAGTAGTAATATTTGAATCCTGGCCACCAGATTTGCAATCCATTGACGCTTCCAAAGACTCTTCTTGCATAGCCTCACATGCAATGCATCGCAGTGATTAACTCTGAATATTATACAGGCAGTTGGAACCAGCTCTGTGCCAGAACCCTATTTTTGCAACCTCTTCATTTCCCTGCACAAGAGGCAGTCATTTTTTCCCTGCTTTTATTGAAATGATGAGAAGTCTGGAGAAATTTCTCAGGGTACAGGACTTCTGTGTTTATTCTAAGGCTGAGGATGTGCACTCTTTACCGCTTTAGCTTTGCTTTGATGTTATTATTTAAGGAGGAGGAGGAGGAGCTGTGAGGCAAAGGAAAGAGGGAAGGGGGGGAGAAAATCCATCGCTCTGCTCTCATACACCCAGCAGGCAAGAGTGCTGGAAAGCCACAGGGAAGGGCATCGTGACTGTGTCCTCTGCAGGTTTTCCAAGAAGCTCAAGCAGTTGGGAAGCTGAAGGTCAGAACAGGGGGAAATGGTAAAAGAAGCAGTGCATGCACACCCTTGGTCATCTCCTTATACCGAAGCCTTGTGCCCTGAGAAATTTTTCTAGGATTCCCATCCTCCCACAGTTTTCAGGTGGAATTCTTTTTTGCACCTCTCATTCAACAAATAGTCAAAATTAAATAGCTCAAAACATTCAGCGCAGTACTGGTTAAAGCATTTTACCCCAGCTTATCGAAAAGCCAAATAATACAGTTGTACGCAAACATTCAATATGCTAAAATTGTCAGGATGTATATATGTCTGAAGATGAAAGAAAGAAATCTAGGAACTAGTAAATGATCCAAGTGGAAATTATAAAGCACAACAGTCATCTTTGACTACAACAGCTGTCTCTTTTGTCCTAGGAGACAAAAGCCCCCATGACCAACCTTAGGAGAACTCTGCTCCCCTCTGTCCTGAACTACCCATTTCTTCTTGAGCAGTTTACTCACTGCTTACTCCCCTGTTATGCAGCATGAGGAAAGCCAGGACAGATACCTCATCAAACTGGCCCCCAATTCCCATCAGGATAGGACTCAGATCATTTACTACTGAGAAGCCTTGAGCTCACCACATTATTTTAGGGTAGCCATGTTGGAATTCCCAGAAAAGGAGAAAGGGCTTAACTGAAAAAAAGAGGATGAGAGGGCAGTGATATGCATAAATTTGGCATGTTAGTCAATATGTATAAATGTGATTTCAGAAATATTAATAATGTAACAGAGACCCATGTGCTGGCCTGTTCCATCTGCCTTTTGAGCGCCAATTGCTGGTGACAACTATTCATATTACTCTTTCATCTTTAAGCTGGAATTGGACATGGCAACCCTTCAAAGAAAGGATGCAAAGAATGGTCCTGCTAGAAGAGGACACAAGGTCACCCTGCATTGCTTCCTGAAGGCACACGGAGCTCACAGTCAAGGACAATGAAATAGTGGCAAATTATGTGCAGATGCAGATGCTATGAAGAGAAGCCACAAAGAACTTCTCCTGGCCAGTGCCAGCAACTGGCTGCTTCCCTTCCCAGCTAAGTCTCTCCTTACTCTTTGCAAAGGGAGGTAAAGAACCAGTGGGGAGGTGGAAGAAACAGAGAACTCTGTAGACCTCTAGGGACATTGGCTGCCACAGCTAACCGTTTCTTTCAGGGGTCACTTTAGGCACACAAACATTCCAGTTGATTCTGGGGCTGAGCAAACAGGCAGTCCTGCATTCCTAAAGAAATCAAATACGATAATCATTACAATGTAGCCCTGGCATGCATTTCCTTGCTCTGAAAATCAGGCTTTGCTGAACAAATGCATTTGTTCTAGATTTTATATTTTTAATACAGGGTAACTCAGCAAAGATGAGCCATATTTATAGTGTTATGTTATTTTGTTTCATAATTCCAGGGTAATAAGGAGAGGGAGAGAGAGATTAATGGCACAAGACAGGCACTGACCTTTTAGTGCTAAACATAATGATGGGTGTTGTGCTTCACATTTATGGGAAATCAGCACTCAGAGTCTTGTTCCTGTTGACCTGGTGGGGAACAAAAACATGAAATCTTCAGACTTAGTAGGCAACCTGGCATGAACATTAAGAAACCTTCTCTACAGGATGTATTTTGTTTGAACCTGATGAAACACAGACAGGTTTGAGAGGATCAAGTAGCAAAGCAGGTCTCCAGGCTCGGCACACATGGCCCTGGTGTTCCCCTGCTTCACTCTGGAGGCCACCCCACTTGGAAATGAAGATCGTGGCAACAGCAGCAGGCACTTTACAAAGCATTTCTCTGCCTTGTGCTGGTCTGAGTACTGCCTGGCCACCCTCACCATTGTCTTCAGCCTTTCCCCTACTAAGCTCACTAGACAAGCCAGGGATGCACAGAAGTGCATAGCTCTACAAGCAGCAGCAAACTGCCAAAACAGCTGGTGGAAACAGTTTCCATCTTCATGGTCCCATAATGCCTCAGGGCCCCACCATGCACTGCAGAAATGCCCAAAGGCATTCCAGTGTAATAAGGATAGTGGTGGCAGCCACAGCTGCTGACACTCTCTTCATTTCTCACAATCCTGAGCCAGCTATAAAAAGGAAGGTGAAAGAAAATTAAAGTCATTATGTTGCCAGCCCTGGTGAGTCCTCAGGGACACATGATACCAGATCCTGGGTATTTCAACAGAAACATTTAGCTCTAAAATCTCATGGGATTGATAGCTAAGAGAATCCCATGATAGTTTGGGTACATGAGGGTGATATTAGTAGCAACCAAGAAAGATGAAAACTGCAGCAGAACAATGCTGAAACAATGAACGTGTGCCAACCAGCTGGGAAGTTTTGAAACTCATGAAGGCAAAATCAATATACAGTATAGTTTTGAGTCAGCCCTGTATTAAATCCCAAAATCCCATAATCACAGATGGGTAACATTCAAAGGGATCTTGGTGATCATCAAATCCATCTTTCTGTTCAATGTCTGATACTAGGCTGAAGGCCATCTTATGAGAGAGGATCAGCATGGAGATAACGAAAGGCCTTCACTCTACATATACCAAGAAACTGCTGAAAAATCAAAGTCATTTAAGTTTAGGATTAGGGAGCAAGGAAGCAATTTATGAATCATTGAAAAAGAGAGGAAAATGAAAAGCATCACTCAAAAAGAGAAGAAAGGGGAGATTCTGCAGGAATCACTACGAATGGGCAGGCAACAGTTCCATGGCCTTTTATCATTATGGGATTTGGAGAGGATGGGTCTTCAAATGGGGACATCTTCAAATAGACAATGAACCACTGGCAGCCCTTCAATTGCAGGACTTCAAACAGAGGGCTGGAAGGCACATAACCACTCTGGACGTATGTGTTCACACTCTAAACATGAGTCAGCAATCAGTCCTAAAAATGATGTTCTCATTATAGCTTGTAGCATGTACACACGCACAAATGCAGGGTTGCAATTGGCCCAATCCATCCATCCATCCAGGCTGCAACCTGAAACTCCAGCCAGATAATTGGTGGCTACCAAGTTCAGCATTTTGGAAGGATGACTAGCAGGGTGCTCTCTGTTCTTCCTCGACCAACTGACTGGCAGTAGGACCAACAATTTGACTATTTGAATACTACAGCCTGTAGGTATTACCCTGACTTACACTTCCTCACAGCAGAGTTTGCCTTTTCTTCTTCTTAAAAGTGTAGTTGCCACATAATATATTCAAGGATTTAGCAATTTCCCCTATGAGAAAAAGAAGCTGCTGGAAAGCATTTAGCAATGCAAAGACTCTCAAAGCAAACACTTTCGTTTGTTAAGAATAAGTTAGATCTGACTGGCAGAAAGACTTTGTACAAAGCCTGTTCTTAATTTGGAAAATGCTTTAGGGAAGTTCACATTAGCATTTTGATGTCACTCCAGGTAAAATGTCTTGTTAGCTCTAGCCTAGAAGGAGGAGGAGGAAGCCATAAAAAATCCACAAATGTATCTTTCATAACTCTTGATTTCCGCAGTGGTATTTTCATCTCAGTTCTTCCAATCTTCTTTTATTTATCATCACAGCTTCCCTCCATTTCTGCAGATCAGTGAATTAAACTAGTGCATCTCACTTGCAGAGATACCCCAAGGGGCAACAGTGCTCTTCTCCAAACAGCAGAAAGCACCTACTGTCTTCTACCCCAGAATTTGTCTCTCATGCACCTACTACAGATACAGAGGAGAGACAAAGTAAGCAGTCCAGGTTAGAGCATGAACTACTGTTTAAGCATAGGTTTCAGTTATATTATACTCAATTATTGATACTTAAACATTACGCCCTGCCTATGTATGCAAACATAGCTGGGAAGATTTTTTATGTGTTCTACTTTCCAAGGGGGAAAACCTTTCTCCCACCCCCCTTTTTTAATTGCAAAGTTCTCAATCAAAATTCCAAAGAAAGTGTGTAGAGGCTGGTGGTGCTAGCAGAGAGGAGTAGACAATAATAGCAATAATGTGAAGAGTAGAAATAATAAATGCAAAGTTTTTTCTTTTACAACCCACCCACAATTATTCAAGTGTTGATGCACAGCAGTGAGGCAGCTTTGGCTTTTCTCCCACAGTAGCAGAATGTACCCTTTGCATGCAGAAATCCCAAGTTCAACTGCAGCATCTCCCAAAAATGTGGAGAGCCACTTTCTGAGGATGAAGAATAGAGATGCAGGGACAGTGCTCTGACTTGAGACAGCCAGTTTTCTATGTGCCTTATTGTAATGCTTGAAAGCACTTTTAAGACACAGCCTAACCCACATGCCCAAAGCCCCCCAAACTTAGACAATATGGGCATCCTGTGCAGGGTGGGAGGATGCAAGGGAAGCAGTCTGATGTGCTGTCAGGATACTGTGTGGCCTGACAGTGCCTGTCTTCCTGTCCTCCTGTCTCTAAAACACCCACAACCCCCTTCTCCGAGGGTGTGTGCAAATGGCTGGCACAGTCCTTTCTGTACTGGCTGCAAGGAGAGGAAGGAAACACTCTTAAGTTCAGAGACAGAGCGACAAGGCCAAGCAAAATGTCAACCTCACAGGAGGTGTCTTTGAAAAATCTTATGGCCATCACTAGAGACCTTTGGCTATGGGCAATATAAAAATGTAGTAGTAGTAGTAGTAGTAGTAGTAGTAGTAGTAGTAGTAGTAGTAGTAATAATAATAATAAGGCACTGCTCCTGGGCTTTTTGTTCGCTTGGAAATAAATATAAGAAATGACCAAATACAGCATGGAAACAGGAGTTTACACTTCAGTCCCAGTTCTTTCCCATAAAGTTCCTCTACTCTAATATCCAACTGTCTGTCCATCTATAAATGGTTCTGCATATTTCAAACTGCATTGTTTCATTCTGGAGGTAATGGGTTGTATTATGAGAAATATTCATACCAACATAACCACATCACACATACCCACTTTCAGATTTCTGCCTCCATGGATATTAATTGGAATGTTTACATTGCATAAATACATCTGTAAAATATAGCTTGCCCTGAAATCTATATTCCCTATCTCTGGAATGTTTTACAGAGGGGAAAGTTGGATGTTTATAATGATTTGTTTCTTGAGAAGCACCAAACAGTTGGGGCAGCAGTTCTGGAAAGAAAACTGTCGAAGTATCAGAAACTTGGAGTGCTGCTGGGTAGTTGCATAATGCTTTGATATATACTCTAAACTGTTTGGGCTTTTCTGCACAAGGAATCCACTATATCTACTTTTGGTTGTCTGCAGAATTGAATCCCAAACTCCACAGAAAGCGAATGATATAATTACACAAATAGGACTATGCATTCTTTTTCACATGATCAATTAACATTGTGTTCTCTTCTCAGAGGAGAGGAGAGGAGAAGAGAGGAGAGGTCCTAAAAAGCAGGAGCAGAACTGGAGGATGGCAGTGTCATCTGAAGAACCCAGAAACAACCATAAGAAAGGAACAAGTAAACAATATCCAAAGCTCTTAGAGCAGCAACTGCTAGGCCAGTCCCCCTTACTTATAAATACAGAGTTTTCCCCAAAACAAAGATTCTGGGGCAGACTTCTTTGCTATTGCAGGATATGCATTCCAGCAGATGATGTGTGGCCTGATACTATGCCAGTTTACTCAGAACTAAGTCCCAGTAATTTGAATGACGCTTGCTCCCCAGTACACGTGCTTTGGAATGTTGCTTTAATAGGATAATGTTTACTTGCTTACATATAACTAATGGATGCCCTCACTCCACAACCCTTTCCATTGGCCAAGTATATAGACTAATGAAATAATAACAAAAGCTTATAAAGAAACAGGTCACCTCTAACCCATCAGATTACTGCCTGTGACAAGCTGACAACGAGGACAGGGATGTAGCCAATAGATGTAATCTAGCTGCATTTCAAGACAGCTTTGGAGACAGAGCTGCGTAAATCACTGATAACAGTGCAGTCACGAATTCGTGCTTCCTTGCTGGGGAACTCACCACTGGATGGTGGCATACTTGACTAGATGACAGCTCTGCAGAAGGAGAAGGAGAAGCAAAAAGTGGCACTGAAACAGATTTGGCTCTAATCTACACTGCACCTGATCTTAGTTAAAAGGCCCCAGTCTAAGTGTCATTAGATTATTTATTGCTTATGCATTGATAAGGCAAATGAGTGTTACAGTTCATATTAGAGCCAGCAAAGGGCAGTGGTTAGAAAGCTAAACTGGGATCGGAAAACATTGGGGTTCAAATTTCTGTGGATCACTGGAAGAGTCAGTCTCTCTCAGCCTGACCCAGCTCAAATATTGTGATAGAAAGGAGGTCAGTGTGAGATATATACCACCCTGCCATTTCATATAGCAAATTTTAATTTTATTTTTTATTAAAAATCATTTTAGGCTGCTTTTAAGGGTAGAGCCCACTCAATATGGCATACAAGATAAAATGTAGAATTGCAAAATGAATACAGTAGAAATCTATTCATGCATACTCAATAAAAATGTCATCCCTCCCCCCCCCAACACCCCCATAAAAGCAGCAACCCATTTTATGCAAAGGATAATGAAAACAGGTTGATCTTC